TTTGGAGAACATTCCAATACATATTAGCAAGACTAAAAGAGGACTTATTTTGCAGTGTCTGAAATGGAGTTAGCTGTGCCAAAACCCATTCAGTTATCTGTAAACAATATTTAACACCATCTGACATATTCACTGTCACTCCATGCTCTGTGAATCAAATATAAAATTATGTGCAAGAAAAAACCCTACAAACTTATTTTGTCACAAGTAAGCTAGGAATTTTGAAGATGGTCAGCTCCACTTGTCAACAAGAATAAGCAAGAAGAAAAATAATGGCTTAGACTAAGAGAGAAACAAGTCAGGAAGGCCTTCAATTTGAAAGGGCTGTCTCCCGGAGGAGGAGTTTGCAGTGCATGATTAACTTCCTTATGTTTTCTCCAGAGTTTGTTGGATGTCTTGCGGTTAATAAATAGGGACATCCAGCTTTAAGAATAAAATTTGAACACTCAGAAGGAGTAGCTAGATCTAGTATTTTGGGTAGTGTCAATAAATACCTGAAGGTTATTTTCCAAAGTTGAATCAGAATCAGGTTTTGTGCTTCAAATGTCTTTAAAATTTAGGCATAATTTCCTCTGAGGTTATGACTCGGGCCCACCCCTTTGAATTATATACGCAAACTTGGAAATTTGTGAAATTGTTAAGTTGTATCCCTCCATCTGCAAATTGATGGCAATTGAAAATGATCACCACAGTGTGTCACCACAGCTAACGCTACATTGCAATCAGATTCACTTGAGCATTTCTCTGCAAATCAGATCACTTAATTTTTCTTTTGGCCATTGATCTTTTACAGTACCTGCAGCTTTTTGTTTTTCCTCCAAAGATCATCATTTTACTGTGAAGTCTACTGAATAATTACTTCATGAGTGCCATATTAAAAGCAGTCCAAAAACTGTTTAGGCTGCTCATTAAAGTCATTGGGAATTTGGCTGGGCAAGAGCTCCCTGCTTTGGTCATGCAACAGGGGGGAAAGCACTCCAAAGATTGTTATTTTCTAATTATTTGTGTTGTGGTACCACAAAAGGATTTGATTAGCACCCTTGTGTGCTTAAAACTTAAGGAACAGATGCCACACACCAGCAACCCCACCACCCGCCAGTGTTTGTTCCCCAAAGTCTTGATTAACTCCCAATTTTCAAATGGAATAAGGTAGCAGAGAAAAAAAAGCAGAACAGATAATAAAGTTTGCCTTTCAGATCAAAATTATTAGAGTTGAAATTAAAATTATGTTCAAAATATAAGTATAGTTAGGATAAAATTTTCAAAGCTCGGTTATGTGTAATACCCCTCACTGCCTGTTGTAGTAGCAAAGAGTAAAATCCTGGGGCCTCTGAAGTTAACAGGTTTTTGAGACTGAATGAGGACTCCAATTTTCTTTTTGTAAACTGACAAGTTTGATCTTATTGCATGCTACCAAAACAGATCAAATGTCCTGGCTCCAGACGGCGATGTAGCAAACATACAGGAACAGACAAGCACGTGTACATTCACACTTGGAGTGAGAAATATGCTGGGTTGAGAGTGCTACCTTTTCAGATAGGAGGAGAAGACACTCAAACCCACTGGCTCAAGCCTTTGACTGGCACTGGACTATGAGAGTCAAAATAGAGAGAAAATCTTCATTTCTGTGCTTCCTTCTTCCTTTGACAGAAAGAATTTTGCGTTTATCTTTAAGACTAGGCAGTCTGAATTTGTTTCAAAATGATGTAAAATATCAAGCTTCATTTCTCTAAATATACTTCTAAAAACAGGCTGGAAATTAGTTGCTTGTATGTTACGCTCTGTGGCTGTACTTAGAATTGGGGTGGTTCTCCTTTAAATAACCATTGAGAAGCACCGAAATCCAGGCAGTTGTGTATCAATTAGCAGGGCACATTTCTTAGTGTGAGCTGCCTGGAAATGCAAAATGACAAATCTGAGCATTAAGCTTTCTACCATCATTTTGCTTTCCTACCTCTAACTACAAATCAGCCTCATTGTGACTTACAGTGTAAGAAGTTGGTGCATTTCTGCAGATCCACGATAAGATATTTTTCTCTAGTAAGAAATGCAGTTAGACTCTGCATTCTGAATCTGTCCCTGTCAGGCCCTAGATGCATTAGTATTCCACTGGCAGCTGCCTGTAGGTAGGAATATTGTTTTTGTCCATAACCAGAGGGAACAATCAGACTAAGCCGTTCCCCGGCTATAAACCAGCCAAAGTAATTGGGTTTAATTTTAATTTTTGTAATAGCTTTAAATTAATAGGAGCAGCTGCTGCCACAGTGTGTGGGTGTCCTTTTCCAGAAGGCATAGAACAAAAAAGGGAAAGAGTAAACAATAGTGCGTCTAGGACACAAAGGTTAATTCAAGAACTGAGCAATGTCTTTTCGTTATCAAAAACTCAGTTGGTGATATCTAGCACTGTGTCTCTTTTCTTTCTTTTTCTTCCCCTTTTTTTCTTTTTTTCTTTAATTCCCTGATAAGATCTCAATCTGATTAGGCTCCTGTGTGTAAGATGTGTTGTTGGTATCTAAACACTAACTCTCTTTCTCTATATGACTCACAAATAGATTAGCAGTGACAAAGTGCTAGGAGAGATAAAAATAGATTAGCAGTGACAGGAGTACCATTATAATTATTTTTGGAAGATATGGTTTGAATTAAGACTTTGGGCACTTTCTGCCCTGAGAGGGTGAATTTAAACCTAGGAACTGAGGATGGTTTCTGCTGTTGTGTCAGACACCAGATAGTGAAATGTCAATACCAGATGTCCTAGAAATCAAGATTAGCCATAATAGCCAAATGCAGCCATAAAGTGATGTGTCAAAGTGGATAATAAAACAGATGCTTAGCTTCTATAATGAAGGGGAAAGGGAATGAAATATCAAAAGTGCCTTTAATACATTAACAAAGTTGTCTTCAACTTGCTTAAAAGTAGAAAGTTATTGAACCAAGGAGAACTATGTTTCATTTAAACATTAACTATCAGCAGATGAATTTCAATTAGCATTAGCCTTTCTAAAATCTTGAATTTCCTCCTATTTTACATGAAATTTTTATAGCATAAAGTGAGGCTTGTCCTTTATTATTTCTCCCATGCTAATTTGGAAACAAATAAAGTTCAACAACTCAGCAACATACTGTTTAAACTTGCATTACGGTTTGAGGACTGGGAGCTAGAATACATTTACCCACTGCCATATCATCTGCTTGATTTGAGATCAAATGAGGGATGTCCTATAGCACTCCAGAGTAAGGGCAAATGATAGAAATATGTTAAGATACTGGAGAAACCTATTTGGTTAGGGTACTGCATGCAGACGGCTGGTGGCATTTTTCCCCTACTGATAGTTTTAAAAAAATTAAAAGAATTGTTTTTCTGTCCTTCATATTTGTGGGTTAAAAATCATTTTCAGATCTTAGTGATAAGCAAGTGCCTTATTTAACCAAAAATGCTGAAGTAAATTCTTGAAGCCCTGAATGTCCAAGAACCAGGGCAATAAAAGGGGCAAATAAATTCTTGTTTCAAGTCTAATTAACTGCATCACTGGCTCTTTATTGTACTTTTTCAAGAACATCTCAATTCCTTTCTGTTTCTCTTTGTAGCTCCTGAGTCTTGCTGATCAGACTCCTTAACTGCTGCTAACTGGCAAACACGTACTTCTGCATAATGAGAGGGTTTTGTCCTCTATTTCGTATTAGCAATGAAAGGCCAAAACTGATGCTCTGCAGTAGACCAGCTTCTTGGAACTATTACAAAGAGGCACATTACTACTGCTATGTCTGTAAATCTTATTATGTTTTCCCTCACCATGATCCTAGTTTAGCTGAGATCTGCTCCAATCGTTAGATGAGACCTGTTTATAATGTTGTGTAATTGAATCAGTTAGAGTCTGCAGGACCATAGTGTTTTGTTGCCAAACATGGCTGGTAAGTTAGTTACATCAAATTACAAATTACAATGGCGTGACTAGAGAATCTCCTGTTTAAATAAAGCTAGAAAATCTATCTACAAAATGAAGAAAGAGTACAAACAGAAATATTGAACAACTCTAGTCCATAGAACAAGTGTTTGACCCACCTCTGAAATGGTACTAATTTCTGTTAAGAAATAACAGAATAATTGAAGTTGGGTGAAAGATGTCAGGCAGACATTTATTATTCCTTAAACAGATACCAGCTTGATAACAATGACATAAATGTCTCTATTATAATTATTTACCATCATGTATATTCACTTTTATCTTGTCAGCACTATATGCCAGAACTCTTGAGGAGGGCAGCAATCCAATTTGGAACAGAACCACATACCCTTTTCTCCTTTGCCTTCTAATTTAGGACCAGGTTATTTTTCGTACCTGAAGTTTTTTGTTTGGGTTTTGGGATTTTTTTTCCACCTCAAGAATTTATCTTTTCCTCCATTCATTGGCTAGGTGTTGATATATCCCCTGACAATTAAGGATAATAAAAATATAAAGATGTCCTGAATTTTGGTAACATTTCTGTCAATGTTGCCTTATACTGACATTCCTTCATTAATTATGCCTTGCTTCTGTGCTGGTGAATGAGGCCTGTATGAAAGGGTGTAGCCACACTCCAGCCAGAGGTTTGGCTGAAGCCTGTGTAGTGGTATGAGATTGCACCAGCTTGATAGAGAAATAGAGGATAGCTTTAACTGCCTGTGCATCCTTTTCACTTCTTGGGAGTGGGTTTCTCTGGCTGTGTGATACTCTCCCCTGCTATGGTGACTCTGCCAGCTTGGGCACCCGGAGAGAGCTGCAGTCCCTGTGGCAACTGGCGCACCGGCACAGTAGCTGTGCCATGCACGGGCCCCTGGCATGGAGGTTGTCTGCATGAGTGCTCCAAAACGCAGGCTCTGGGATCTGCTCGCCAGCTCCTGAGCTGTTCAGGCCGTTACATTTCATTTGCTTTAGAGGAAATTTGAATCTCGCATACCCTTTTTATTCAGATTTCTTATGTCAATGTATATATGTATATATGTTGTTTTTGTTTTTTAGGCAAAGAATACCCTCTAAAAATGTGTATTACTATCGCTGCCCAGACCACAGGAAGAACTATGTCATGTCATTTGCTTTTTGCTTTGACCGAGAGGATGACACTTACCAATTTGCTTACTGCTACCCCTACACTTACACTCGCCTTCAGCACTATCTTGACAACCTACAAAGGAGGAACATGGACTACTTTTGCAGAGAATTGCTAGGACTCAGTGTGGTAAGTAATAGGCATGCTTGCCAACTAGCAGGCTTCGTTATGAATGTCTACCCTTAAATGCTTATAGAGTATAATTCATCATCCCTGCTAAAGTACACACACACACATATTTGTTTTACTGCTATCAATGACACATGAGGTAGCATACCTGCATGGTGAAATATAGACAAATGCTAATTTAATTTCACATAAAATATTTCCTTTGCGATATGCAAGGCAATGCTAAATTCCCATGTAGGATCAATTCACCTCTAAAGACATTCAAAGATGAAACTGAAACAGCTTTATTGAAGAAATGTGATTTTTAGAGTACTCTGTCCATTTGTCTTTCTGGAAGAGCTTTTCTATTCAGAAGAAAATATGTGTCTTTGGAACTAGAGTATAGCTTTTCTTGGTAAAATAATGCAAAACATACACAAACTACCTATTTTATTTACTCTTAAAAGGTCTGCTTTGGTGATTTGAAATTAAAAGGGGTTTAGTGGTCTCAGTATAGATCCTAGTGGCCTGAAAATGAAATGTGATAGTTCTTCTGGTGCAGGAAGGAGGGTTAATGATAAGGCTGAACTTCTGCTCACTTTGCTATAACCTTTCTCTGAAATGTTGCCTGTCCTGAGGAGTTGGAAAGCATGATTTAGCCACTCCCATATCAACTCAGAAATCATCAGATTAAAAAATATTAGCTGAAATTTTGGGTTGGTTTTTTTCCTTTTGCATTCTCAGACTTCATAGTGCACTCGTCCCACATTCTTAATCTTTTCTCTCAGATTTGATTTGGTCTAAACTTGTAGTGTGTGTGTCAGAAAAAGGAAGCTGTGATTCCTATGAAGGCTGCTGATCCCAGCAGCTGGGGCTTTAAAAAGAATCCCAGCATATATTGTGAAAATCAGAATGAAATCATATGTATAGGCTGCACTGGAATAAATAAAAAGCTTCCAGCATTAGAGCAGGCCATTGAGATCCCTATGGTGGCATAAAACTTGGAGGAAAAAATTAACTTTTGGAGAAGAGTAAAAACAGAATTAACAAAAGAAAGTGTTTTTTAACCCTTTTGTCAGTTAAGTACAGTTCTTGTTCTAAAGATGACTATTACATATCCCTGAACTGGTATTAATTATTAATCATTCCAATTAGAGGGACAAACAATTATAAGGGAAAGCGGTATTAAAAAAATAGAAAAGTAAAATCTTCAGAGGGTGGGAGGAAGGAGCACTATCATTTTAATGTGTGTAGGGTTTTAATTATTAATCTTAGAGGACAGAGCTGTCATTAATTCTATAATGAAACTGAATTTGTTTCCTTTCACTCTGAAAATAGTGTATAAACAGTCACATTTGCATATTCATCAAAACCCTGATCTGACTGATTAAAGCACTGAGATAGAAGGATTTGCCTTTTATCTGCATTTTGACAGACAGAGGTATACTCTTAAATCTTGTTAACATTGTGTTACCAGTAGTTGCTAAATATTATTTTTCATATTTCAGCAAACTAAACAAACAGATGCCATTCAAAATGTGGCAGGAAATGTGCTGTGTATAAGTCCTGATTTTATATCTATATGTACACACGCAGTATGTTTTGCAGAAATTGATATGGTAACATTTTGCAGCTCACCATGCTGATCTGTATAAAAAGCTTCTGAATCAGGCTCATGCTGTAATCTTTGTAAGTAACGTTACAATCTCAGACCATTTCTGGCTTTTCTCCACACACAACTGTCCTAGAACAGCTTGGTAATTTAATGTCTTTGCTGAGCTTGAATAGACAATTTCCATAAGTTCTCTGCGAGTTAAATATTTTAACATAGAGCTTTGTTGCTATCATACATCTTTAAATGGTGAAAAACAGGATCCTTCAGTCTTCACTGCACAGTGCTTCATCAAAGCAGAAGCTGGCTGTACTTTAGAGAATTGCGTGCCATATAGGATAGATTTAGAGCTAAGAGAGCAAGCTGCATCCCTGCTCTGGCCCCTTATGTAAGATAAGAGGAATCAGATTGGCATAAAGAGACCCTTAAAAGCTCTATTCCTGGCAAAGGGACGATGCCTCTGGTAGCACATGGCGAAAGGTAACTTAAAGATGCTGTCTGAGGACAAACTCTGAAGTCCTCATGCTGGGCATGGGGCTGAAGCAGGGTAGCAGGTTAGGGCAAGGCTGCGGAATATCTGTTGAGCTGCCATGTAGCCACCGATACACTCTGGTTCATTCCAGGGGAATTTTACAGCTCCCTGCAGCAGTTTGTGATTGTGAGGATGGAGAATGGTTTGAACCAATTTAACTTCTCCTGGATTATGAAGTTTTGAACTGTGCCTCTTGGAGACAACAGAATCTCACCACAGATCTTTGGGTTTTTTATTTTTCTTTGTCGTGGAACAGTAAAATGCAAGTCACAAGAAACCATGCTTAGATGATTACTCCTGGAGGCTTTCTCAGTGCACATTTTGCTGCATGTAATGTTTTCAAGGCAATCTAATTTCTAATCTAATTTCATATTTTCTCTAAAGAAAGTACTATGCCTTCATTAACTCCTTAAATACTTTCACTAATTCTATGAAAATTGAAAGTGAAATATCAGTATGGGACATGTAATTGTCATTAGGATGCAGAATGGCAAAGTGGTTCAGAGCCAAATGGCAAAGATTCCCATTGCCAGTGTGAATGGATAACTTAGCTGTTCTATTTCTGACCTTTTAATGTTTATATTCTTTACTTCAGGGAGCTATCCCAAAGTCTAGATGTGCCAAATGGTCTTGAAAATAGTCTCTCCTGCAAGCTAGCTGTGATGGTCACCCAGGTATCATTTAAACTGCCATTTTCATTCTGGCATTGTTGGCCTTAAGTAACTTCAGACTTTCTACGATTTGTCCCAACAGATCATAAGTTCAAAATCTGTGAGCATTTTTTTAAATTGTGAAATTAGTTTTTTGCATATTATTGATGTGTCTGTCACCTTGGCATATATTACGCAATATTGTACCGCATAATATAATGAAAAATAACTTTTATATTTCTGTGAAAATAGAAGCACAGGCTCAATTTACATTTACAGTACCTATTTTATGATACTTATACAGTTTCATGTGAAGTAACAGTTATGTGTAGCATTATAAACAATATTTCAGAGTTGGCAAAATTTTTGAGTGTGTCATCATTTGAAGGTGGTAGTCTAAATTAGCTGTGCATACTTGAAGTGTGCGGACAATTGATGAGACCTGTACCTCTACTAGTATTCCACTGTGACACATGCTATATTAAACGCGTTTTGGTGAGCCTGGCTCAGCTCCTACAGCCCACTTTACAAATAGCCACTGGCTTGGCAATATTTTCATTTCTCACTCAAAAGAGCCAAGATTAATTGGAGACAGATACTTTCTTTCACCCCATTAGGCAATGGTGCTTCCAAATTATACTTGAGGAGAATTGCAACTGCACATACAAACCACAAGCCTCAAAGGGACTTCCACAGTACACAGAGACTGGAATACGGAATTCTGTTAAATTAAATATTAAACATACATATTTTAAAACAAGAAGGCAATATGTCTAATGTAGAGCTCTGCAAGCGAGCCAATCTCTTAAGTCAGACATGAGATACTGAGTGAAACAGATTGGAACACAAGGTGCTTCATTCTGACTCCACACAACTTTGGTGTGTGCTTTTAATTTACGTAAGTTACTCCTGACTTATGCTGGTATCAGAGAGATCAGAACGAGGCACTAAGACTGTGAAACTGCACACCTGATGTCACATTGCTGGTTCATTGGTCAAATATCTCTTATTTACTGTCTAAATGACTGGGTACCCCAGTAAAAAAAGTTGATCGGTTCTACTGATATCTGCTGGTCCATTTTTAACTGCTCAGTTATGACTGTTTTAAAGCATGAAGCAAAGAAAATAGACAATTTTTCTAAGGTTAAATTTCCCATTTCTATGTTCAGCGTTAGGTTATGTAATAACAGTTCTGTAAAAGAAAAGTGTACTCTTCGTCTTCGAAAAAAATAGAAGTTACAGGCTTCAGTGTGATGTATCATACCTTTGAAATCAAGTTGGTATCAGATTCTGTACTTTCCAATGGATCTGACTGCAACTAGGTTGAAATGTCATTTAAATGCAGTTTGTGGCAATTTACTTGGTCTGAAAAAGGCCACAGAAATAATGCTTAAAAAAAGTAAACCCAACTTCTCATTTCTCTAGAATGTAAAATTGCACCTACATGTATGTTTAGGGCACATCCTCTTTATTCAGTGGTGTATCTATTTACTTTTATAGTACTGCTGTTCCCATAGCATTCATAATATGGATGTCATCCCAAAACTGTACGTGAGATTTTAAATGTTCCTATGGCTATTTTCTTAGCCGGGTTGGATATCAGCAGAAGTAGAGTTGGACCTAAAAATAACACCACCAACAGTTCTTTCTGAAATAAAATACGATTTATAGTATATAATAGCACAGTATGCTACCAGGGATTATATATAAATAACATGAAAAATAACAGGGAACTATTCTATACCATCAGTTTTAAGGAAAATGTTTGTTAGAAGGAAGTTCTGGGAGATAAAATGGCTTGTGGGAATCATAGACAAGGAAAGATAGGCGAAACTATGTTACTGTTGAAGTTGCCATCTGTCTGTAGGATATATACAACTGTTCATGGTAAAAACAAGAAATACTTTGGTTTAAGTTGGCAGCAATATATAGTTTTAGAAAAAACAAACTCAATAAAATAATCATTTACCATTAATATTGTGCAAGGTTACTAAATGTATAAGCTGGTTATTTCTTAAATTCCAGAAAGAGCACTGTTTCATATAGTAAAACAATTTCTAGAAGGATTTGCATAAAATGTTGTTTATCTAATTATGAGTAAAAAATCTTAAATTGGGAAGAAGGGTTCAAATCTTAAGTCAATTTTGCAGCTCACATTTTATAACTACCCTTGTCCATTTAAAAACTTTTAGGAAAAAAAATGCTTGGAACTTCACAGAAAAGAAGC